TACTAAAATAAACTGCATGCCAAAAAATGCTTTGTAGACAGAACCTTACTGTAGATGAAGAATGTAGGGAGATTTTTTTTTAAAGGTCTGCTATGTGTGGTATAATGCTTTCAAGGTTTCTGTAATTACTAGTACAAAATAACAAATTAGAAAAATGATCCCATCTTTATTTCTGTAAGGGAATAGAATGATGCCATGCTGATGAGGAGGAGCTGGGTGGGAAAGAGTAAGATCTTGAGAGAACAGTTCCCTTTAAATAGCACTTGGAAAGCAGCTGATGAAAAGTCCTGTGTGAAAGAAGTATATGAGCAGTGTCACTCAAGTAATTGTTAAATGCTGTGGTTAGAGTAATTTGCTTTTCTAAGTGCTGGATGCAGCAGTTCCCTTCACTCTTGTGTGGAGCATGAATTCCACTACCTTTCTCAGAAGTGCCCTGTAAAAGGTAAAAGACTTGAAAAATTCAGAGTAATCAAACTTCACCAAGTTAAATTGGTTGGTTGCTGATGAGCAAATTTAACAGAGCCTTTATTTTCAGAGAAGAAAGGTGGGAGAAAGGAGAGTAGGAGTTAGTCTAATGTAATGTAATGCAAAGATGGTAAATTGGAGAGGGGAGAAATTTAAAATTAAAATTATAATACATGTAAATAGAGGAAAATGGAAAACATGCAATATTTTAGAATAAAACAACACTGAAGGGTTAGTCCATGTCAGATACTGTTTAAAAAATCTTGCATCTTCATCCTTTGTCTGAAATGTGTGGTTATTTTGAGGTTCTGCAGGTATATAGTCTCAAGCACTGTATAAGGTAGAAAGAGGTAGTTTTAACAGTGTTATTCTGAAGGCAGTGTAGAATTTATTTAGAACCTCTGCTTGCTGCAGGTCCATTCATAGTATCTGACAAAGTAATTTGTTACTTGGGAAAGTTCATACTGCTCTGAAGTAGTTAGCTTACAAGGTGTTGCTCTGCCCTGCCTTTGCTCCTTAAATGTATCATAGCAAGTTACAGTCAGTAGAAAAGAAAATCATCCATACAGTCCAAGCCTGTAAGACAGATTTGGTCCTTCAATACTGAAATAAGTAAATGTTTAAAAAAAAAAACCACATAACCAAACTCAAATTTTATTTACTTCAAAGGAGACGATCACCTTCACCTTATTATAGCCGCTATCGATCGCGATCAAGATCCCGTTCATATAGCCCAAGTAAGTATTTGTCATCAGGTTATTAATCTGTTATAATGTGTTTGAGCTTGACAAATGAGAAATCATGTGGATTTCATTGTTATAGTAACACTGCCTTCTCTTTCCAGGACGCTACTGAAGACCAGAAGAGGTGCAGTTGAAGACAAGATTTTTAAATACCAAGTTCAGATCTTAGCTTCCCCTTTGCCAACCTTCCCTTCCCTGCCCACCCAAAGCTCTCTTAAAGATCTTTGGTTTATTTGGAATATGCATATTTTCAGTTGAAGTATTGCAGTTTTCCATCCTTCTGAAAATGTAATTGTTGTAGTTTTGTGTAGTTAAACATCTTAAGCAAAACTAAATAGGAAACCCAAAGTATTGATACATTTTGTAAGTCATTCTGGTTTTGTTTTTAAAATAATTGGACTCCTGCCTAATCAAATAAGAAGAGAGCAATGATATGTTTAGAGCTTGCATGTCATATGTAATATACACATTCAGATGCTTTAATATAAAACTGTTTCCACAATACTTGTTAAATCTTTCTGTTGAAATGTTTGCCTGTTACTTTTGAAAAATACATTACAGCTTTGAACTTTTTCTGTAAGGACAGGTTTCTTTTAGTCATGAACCAGAGGATTTCTTGTCAAATTAGTCGCTTTGAGTGTAAAATATTAAAACTGTAGAGAAAATTTTGGTTTTATTTCTTTGGGATAAAAAACCAGATTATTGTATGCTGAAAATTCTGGCAGTGTTTTCTAAAGATTTAGACTGCTGCAACAGTGAACACCATTTAGAGTTAAAATTCTTGCAGATCTGTTTTTTTGTTGTTGTTGTTGTAGTATTCAGTTTAATGTTTCCCCCAAAATCAGTGCAGGAAAAAAAACTATTTATTGAACATAGCAATTAAATAATTTGCTGTTCATATAAAAAAAAAATCCTTTTGGTATTGCAATGATGGTCAGGCAAGTTCTAGTTTCCAATCTTTTTGGAGTTAGCAGTATGGATGGAAACATTACAGTTACATAAGCCTCTTCTTCCTCAATAAAAGTTAATTCCACCCAGATGGATTTTCCTGTTGTCGTCTTTGTATTTACAGGTGACTTGGATCTAAGTCAGTGTCGCTTGATTTTTAAGGAAGTTAAAACTAGTGTTCATTTTGTGTTTCCAGAGTCTTATTTGGTACTGTTACTTAAGGATAAGAACCAGTTTTTAATTACCCTGTAGCTGCTAATTTGTGCCCCTGTGTATACTAAGCTGTGAAGTTTTGGCCTAAGAAGTTTTAATAATACATGTAATCCTTATGTTAACAACTGGATAAATTGTCTGTTTTAAATACCTGTCTACTGGGTAAATAGTTTTTACCATAACAAGGTTTGTATTTTTTGTTTGATGTATCGAGCTATCATCTTTCATGCTAGTTTATACTGTTAATACTAATACTAACTTAAGTATCTGATACAATTGTTTTTAAACTAAAGTGTTCCAGTTCCATCCTTCCTTCCTGGATTGTAAATTGGAAATGAAAGCCATAATTACTCCTTTGGATAACAAATGGTGACTTGTTTTTGTTTCTCACCTTCTGTGATCAGTAATAAATTCAGCCTCCTTTCTCTTCATAGCATGGGCTGTGTGCATTAAGCATTTTGTAGGCAAGAAAATGCCTTATTTGTGATTTGCCAGTAGGGGAAGAGACTTGTATTGTAAAACATACTTTGACTAAAGAAATTGTTTATATGGATAAGCAGTACTCCATAATAACCCTTAATATGTAGACTAGTGATCTACAGGTGATCCACAGTAACCTTAGTGTTTCATATGAAAATCTGAAAATCTGTCTCTACATAATGAGGTAGAGAGAGAGTCTAAACTTGGGAATACAGCATTGGGAGGGAAAAGTTAACTATTCTGCATAACAAGATTGATGGAATTCTGTGTCCAGTTCAGACCCATAAGTGTTAAAAAAGATCCTGAAAAAAATTAGTACAAACATGATATACAAAGATTAAGGGCTGGAAAAGATCTCTTACAATGAGAGATTTGGAACACATTTAGTTATGATAAGATTGAGGGGACTTCATTAAAGGTTATAAATATTTGGGGGGGGAGAAGATTCTAGGGAGGGCTCTCTTAATCTAGTGGGAAATAGTATAACAAGACAATAGCTATTCAATAAAGTTAGTCAAATTAAAATAAGAATTAAGACTTTTGCAACAAGCATAATTAAACATTGAAACAACCTATCATGGAAAATGGTGTCATCTTCATTTATAAATCATCAGACCAAGACTGAGTAACTGGATTAAATTCTCTGGATGCTATTATCAAGAAGATTGGATGGTCCTGTCTGCTTTGTGGGGAAAGAATATTCTGCCTGTACATGAATTAGTATTGTATTAGGTGGTGTACTGCTGTGTTTAACTCTTTCCCTGTATAGCTCCTTACCTGCTTTGCTCTGGGAATTGCAGCTCATTTTTATCAATTTCTGCCTGTGAGGAGAGGCAGTTGCATGCTTAGTCTTCTAAACAGGAAAACTGTCCATGGTCCTTGGAGTGTGTGTATATGCATTCTACTCATGTGGCTAGCACCGTCATCAGCGTCAAGTGCAGTGGGTATGTACATACCTGCAGCTGTAATATGCTTACAACGTGGAAGCACACCATCAATAGCTTGAAAGAACAATCTGCAGGAATGAGTTCTGTTGCTTTCCAAGTCTGAGACATCTTTAAAATGATGAGACCTGAAGAAAAATGTGTTGCATTTGCAAGCTTGTTTAAATCTATCCCAACCGTGCAGTTGGTCCAGTAAAATACCACCCACAAAAATCCTTGTTTACATGCATATTTTCTGGACTCTCATGGCTATAACATCATTCAACACTATCAAAGGGGGTACTAGCAACGTTTTTTTTTTACTGGAAGCTTGGTTGTTGTACCTAGGATGTTGCAAGATTAAAAAAAAAAAAAAAAGGCTTTCACCTATGCTACAGTCTGCACATTAAATAAGTAACAGTGAGACTAGGGAGGTTCTATATTGTAGTAGTATACGTGTTTTTCTCATGATTTGATTTTTTTATTTTTAACTACTTATATAGGCCATTAATATTTTGTCTAGTCAAAATAGTACTGTATAGTACAAAATAATATTAAGTCAACACTAGTCTTGCTTGGATAACTTTAAAAGTAACACATTAAAGGTACCTATTACTGGCTAACTATAAAAGTTTACATACTTCTGTTCCTCTTTGTATTTCATTCAGTTTGTTTTATCTTCAGTACATGAGCAGGGCCAGAGCAATTTGAAGTGAACGTCTCCAAAGAAATAGTCTTACATCATAACTAAAACTTCAGTTAACACCAAGCTTCCTTCATCTGTCATGTGCGCTAAAAAGATACTTAGGTTAACAATAGTATTATGGACCAGATGTTTAAACATAGACTGAATTCTTCATGGATTTTTGCCTTGCAGATTTTGAGCCTGAAATTTAATTTTTCCTTTAAAATAATCCAAAAGTGTCTTTTTTTTTGTTGCTCATTGTTTTATTTAAGGATCCTATAACAATTTTTAAAAAATTTGGTTGTGCATCAAGCACCCTTCTTTTAAGCATTAGCTTGACTAATATGGGAGCATAGGAAAAGAAAAACTAGGGGTCAGTGATGCTCAGGGACAGTTGTTTAATAGCAAAACAGGGAAGTAGTACTATTTGGTTTGCCAGAATGAACAACCAAAGAGATTGATTTGATTCCCCGTGCATCAGATTGTTCCATTGTTGCACTCAATGGGCACATCTACATGTGCAATTAAGCTAAAGAAATTCTAGTGCTTACTGTGCTGGAGTTTTTCCTCCAGGGCGCTGTGTTTACACATGCACCTAGGAGCACAGGATGTTGAGCTGGGTTGAAGCAGCCCCAGCTGGCTGGGGGCCTAGGGGCTTAGCCTGCTGGCCCAGGCTTCTCCAACCTGGCTCAACTTGCTGTGGAGGGGCTGGCTGGGTCATGAGGATGCTCTGGTGCAGGGCTAGGCAGGCAGCCCCTGCCCTGAAGCACCCTCATGTCCCAGCCAGCCCCTCCAGTGATTACAAATGCATTGCTGCAGAGTAAAAACCTCTGAGGATAGGCCTTGTAAAATAGAAGGACTATGCTGCAGAGTTCATTAGTTTACTCCTGCTAATACCACTGCACGTGTGGACATATGATGTTTACTGTGGAGCTAATTAGTTGGCTCAGTAGTAAACAGCTCTCAGATGTACCCAATGACTGGTAGTTTAGCAAGTAGGTATGGTGTGAATTGAATACTTTTTTGAGTGAGGTTTGATTGCAGAGTCTCTGGGACAGAGGCTGTTTCTGTTTATATAGTATGTATAAATGCAAAACTCAACCAGGGTCATGCAGTGCCCCAGGGTGCTTCAAGATCCTTTTAAGGGTGTTGCAGGATCCTGCTCAACATTAGCACTGTTAGGTGTTTAAACACCTGTATGTGATTTGCAAGATAAAGATAAGAGCTTTAAATAGAAATCTATAGTGTCAAAAGTATTCTGGAACCTGTTGTGGCCTTTCTGAGTTCTTTGCAAGAGAAGAATTGCTCTATTTCATAGATTTCATAGACATTTGGGCTGGAAGGGACCCCAGAGGATCATCGAGTTTGGCCCCCTCTCATTTTTCTTAGGAGTGCACTGATAGATTTTTTTGGGCTGATACTGGTGGCTGATTTTTAATAAGCCATATCGGCTGATACTGATTCAATTGCTGATATGCAGCTGGGGTCTGGCTGGTAAGTCTGTTGTGGGGAGAGGGGGGGAGGGAAGGGATGTTGTGGGGGCAGATCGAGGACCCCGCAGTGAAGGAGGGAGTGGGGCAGGGGCAGGCACTGCACAGTCAGGGCTGAGCATGGGACAGAGCTATGAATGGTTCATTCGGGGGGTGCAGGGTGGCTTCTGCTGCTGCATACAGCCCAGGAGGGCATGAGGGGACATGTACCCCTGGATCTGCGTAGAGGTTGGGGCAGGCTGCTGCTGAGGGCAGTACTGGGCTCTTCCTGGTGGGGGAGCTGGGCCAGGCTGTGTTCCAGGCAGTTGGCAGTACTGGATGGGGGGGGAGGGGAAAGGGCTGCAGCCACCCCAAAATTTTCTGCCATTTGCCCTGAGTGCAGCCCCAACCCAGCCCCCTGCTGGGAAGAGCTTGGTGCCACTGGCAGCCCCAGCCTAACCCTCACCCTGCAGCAGCAGGAGCCCCCTATCTCCCCCCCCCCCCCCAACAAACTTGCCCCCCCCTCCCCAATTTTTCGCCACCTGGCTGCGGCCTCCCCTCGC